AGGAGAGGGTGAAGGTCTGGCTGCGGGCGCACGGCAGAGCCCGGAGCTGTTTCGGAGGTGATAACGCTTCTCTTCGGTCGCCTTCGCTGGTCTCGCCTTCTCTGCCTTCTGCATAGCCGGGAAGCTGCGGTGCTTCGCCCCTGGCCAGGGCGGCAGGGCTCTGTGCCTTCCTCCTCCCACTCTTCCTCGCCACCCTCATCGCCATCTCCCGCACCTGCGACTACAAGCACCACTGGCAAGGTGGGTCGGGGTCTGCCTGCGAGCGGGGCGGGGGCACAGCCGGGGGCCCTGAGCGGGGGGCCCACCTTGCTCCAGGGGTGTTCAGAGCACACAATGGCAGCGTGGGGTTTTGATTACTCCTTCAGTGGTCACTGTTTTGTTGCTGCCTGCCAGGCAATGGTGCCTTTCTCTTTGTTTTTGGAATATGTGCCAAGCTTCGTTTCATAGCCCAGGGTCAAGCTGATGCAGCTCAGCTCCGAGCAGGCTGGAAAGCTGCCTGCTGGAGAACTCACCGACGAGGACAGCGAGGGTGAAGGGAAGTTAACTCTGCTCTGCTCTTGCCCGCAGATGTGCTGGCTGGCTCAGCGATCGGCTTCGTGCTTGCGTACGTCTGCTCCAGGCAGTGTTACCCGCTCTGATGGACTCCATGTGCCACAAACCATTTCTGTACAAATCCAAGCAACTGCCAGCACACCAAGAAAACCCTGCAGCTTCCAGTGTTCGCCTGGACGTGGAGCGATGGGCTCTGCCCTGCTGGCACCTGCCCTGCTGCTCCTTGAGCGCCGGGGCCAGGGCCTGGGGGAGCTTGGTCTGCGAGAAGTGGCTCAGGGGAGGATGAACCCGGAAGGCGAGCAGGCGTTCTGCGCAGAGCTGGTAAGTTGTGCTGCGCGGGGGCCTGCGCTGCTCCGTTGAGCCGGGTTCCGCAGGCGTCCCTCCCTTCGGCGAGGCGTGAGGCGTGCGAGCCCGCGGGAGGACAGCCGGGGCACGGAAGGGGCTGAAGCGAGAGCTGGGGAAACGTGACGATCTGGTGTGGCCCGCC